CTCCCTCTAGTGGAAGATGGGGAATAAAGCAGAATAAAATAAACCATCCCACAGTATTTACAATTGCTTGAGACATTGTGAAAACAATACAAATATCTGCCCAGGCCATGAGTTTTCTCTTTAATTGCTACATTTATTCCAAATGAATTTGAATTTATGAGACTGAAGTTTATCTCAAGAAGTCGATTTGATTGGGAAAGAATGCTAGTGAATGGCGACTCATGGTTTTCCTCTATTTTTTGAGGAAATTGGCAAATGTGTTTTAAATATAGGCAAAAGTCTGTATTGAGACAATATATCTTTATGGCTTTGTTTTTGTGACACAAAACCAGTAAAATTCCCTGTTGCAGAAAACTATTATTTTGTGCCCAAGTTCTAAAATCCATCATACAGCCCATCTGCTGTCTGCTGTCTGCTGCTTAGGATTTTACCAATCCTAAGGATTGGTAAAAATGTCTCAAATATAATTGTTCCTTTTTTATGTTGTAATTATGCCTCTGAAGTTCGTTATGAGTGTGACAGATTGGTTCCCATCTGTCAGGAATGTCTATTCCATATAGACTAGAAAGTGGGGGTAAGAAGGAAATACTCACGTATGTTCCATTTAATTTTGCCTGGACACGCAAGGCCTTAGCAGTAGGGGCAATGATAAAATGCCTCATGAAGCCAGGCCAGTGTTGAAACCTAATTAACATTCCCAGGGATTTCAGATGGAGGAGTGAAAGATGTGGGAGGACAGGAGATTATGCTGGGTAGAGACAGACAAGAAAAGATGTGCCATGAATTGAGTTTTGGAGCTGATGCAGGTGAAGCATGAACTGCTCCTGTCTTGGGAGAGATGACAGGTTTCCACAGGTGACAGCCAAATCTTTCTTTAAGGGCCATTTTATCAGGATGGAAAATTATTGAGATTTAATGACCTTCCACTGTTACCCCTATCGCACATACAAGAGTTTCTTTAGCACCTGCTATGCATTTCCAGGTGAAGAAGTAACAGCAAAGACAGATTTAGAGTCAAAATGGAGTTTTGCAAATTCCTTAGCTACCAGCTAAGCTGGAGTTGGTGCTAACGCATTAACACAAGCCATTTTTTTTTGCTTCCGGTTCTGACAAGGATCTTGAGCGAGGAGCAGAAACTCAGGCATGAGTGATGAGATAGAGACTGATACATGAGGGAGGGCAGCTGAAGAACGCAAGGTTTCATCTCAGCAGCCTTCAGCTGCCTCAGAGCCAGGCTTTGTATGTAAGCAAGCCAGCTTGCAGGCATCTCAAAGTCACGAATCCCCTCTGCGGGTAGGTGTATACTCGGCCCAAGGCAGCGTCACCAGGAAATGCCCATGTAAGCACTGAAAACGCTAGCTCTGACACAGGATGCCGTGTTGCTGGGGCAATGCAGTGCTGTTCCTGAGCTAAGTAATCCCGTGGAGGGTGGCCCAGGGACCAGCTGACCTAATGCCTTGCTCAGAGCTGCACCAGACCAGCTTATTTCTATGCTAGAGCTCTGTGACAGGCACTGCCTTATAGAGAAGCCAACGGAAGCACAAGCATTAGTGCTTCCTTCTTTCTTTGCTCTGTAGATAGAAAATGGACTCTATATATAATTTCTCACAGGAGTATCTTTTTTTGTCGTGCGCTTGCATGTATACCTTGTATACATTTCAGAATGTTTAAAAGCACATTTCCTCACCTGCATAAGGGGAAAAATGATGTAGGGATGTGCAATTAGTCCCAAAATATTTGGACAGGTTCTTAGCAAACTGAAAGCCTCTGGACCAAAAAGCTGAGGCTCCTAAGTAGGATGCTCAGCCTTTGCATGGCATGACCCTACTGGGCAAGAAAGCCTCTGGGAGAAAGTGTAAGAAAGGTAAACAAAGGATTTTAAGCCAGAGACTGGGAGAAAGTGGCCAGGCAGAGAAGCAAGTGTTTATGATGGCATGTCCTCTAAAGGTGCCATCTCACCATCTTTACAACTTCAAGTGAAGGAAATCTACAAAACAAGCAGGAAACAGCAAGGAGCAGTTTGAACGAATAAAGTCCCATTTTAGCAGAGCACAGGAATCTGAGCAGTCAGGCTGAATGTAGGCTTTCTTCTGAATGCTAGAAGTCTGAAAATAAGATGAGAGACTAAAATGTGTGATTTTTGTATAAGGGTATTGAACCAATAGAAAAATCAGAGACTTTCCAGAAGAAAGGTCATTACTGGCTCATTGTAATACACTGATAAAAATTGCGTGTGAAGGAGCCAAAATAGATCATGTCCAAATGAGGAAATGGACAAGAACATAAACTCTGTCAAATTAAAAGTAGAAACAGAAAGGCAGACCAGCGAAGACTTTGAGGAAATAACTTGCTAATAGGCACAAACCTTTCTGTAACCCTTCAGTAGCAGGAGGCCTGCCAGAGGGTCTGCAGGTGACCGGGGGAAACAGTCAGCAGTTCATCAGGGTATCAAAGGAGTTTCCGAATAGATAAGCCCTAACAGAAGGTGAAATAGAGTACTTGTAACTTCTTACAGTCTCAGAAGAAGACGTGAGGCTGCAGACTCGAGTGATCCAGCTGATGTGGTCTGCTCACGTTCTAGAAAGTCTTTGATAAAGTTCGTCACCAAAGACTCACCAAGATCTAATCTGGTAAGATCTAACCTTATTCAAAGTGGTAAAATGAAAGTCAGCTGCAAGGAGCAGCAAAAAACCATCTGATGAGACTTGGCAATGAAATGGCAGGTGAGATTCAGTGTAGATAAAAGCAGAGAAAAAGAGGTGGCTGGGGTGGGCGGAAGACCCCTCCCCACAAGACAGTCTCAGCAATGGCCTCCAAACCCACTCTTCAGGACCAATATCTTGAAGTTACAAAGTTCTATTCAAATGTAAGTTAAAAGCTCAGGAGTGATTATACAGCAACTGAATATTAGAAACTATTAGGAAACGAACAGAAAACAGAACAGTGGTTGTGTCATCAGCTAAATACACAGTCCGCTGTATCATGAGTACTGTGTGCAGTTTTAGTCCCTCAATCTCAAAAGGGGTATGTTGGAGTGAGAAAAGGTGTAAAGATGGGCAAGGATAAGCAGAGATCAGGATGATGTTATATGGATAGCAACTACATAAATCAGGACTCATCAAAATGGAAAAGAAGTGACTGAGAGATTATGAGATAGATGTATAAATTCACAAAGGATGACAAAAGTGTAGTACATGATTTCAAAAGCAATCTGACAACTGTGTGAAAGATAAGTCACTTGAGAGCCGTGAAATACTAAGCCGCCCCTCAGCTGAGGAAGCCCCAGGGCTGAGAATGGCTACTGGGCCACTTCAGGCAACTTTTAGAAGTAAATTAGAAGTCTCCCCATCCTGCAGAGTGAAAGTGCACAACCAGAGCTCAAACACAGTTCGGGTTTCTCGTGGTGCTAAGAGCATACCATTGTCATTAGTAGTGCTTCTAGCTCCAGACTAAGCTAAACCGTTTGTTTGTTTAGATTAAAATCAAGATTAAGAAAAAATAACCCTTCCTCTGTTTTTTTCCATGCATTTCCTTGTTCCGTGTTAGCTGAGGACAAAGCTGCAGTTCGACAAACGTTGTACCAACACCGCCACCAGAAGAAGCAACTCTGCCATCTTGTATCACTGGAAAGGTGAATCAGTGGGGAGGAGGGCAGAGGTGCAAAATTAGCAGCCAGAGCTGAGAAGAAAAGGGCAAGACACCTGAAAGCAGGGCTGGCTTAGGCTGATCCCAAGCAGATTGACCTGTACTTCAATATTATTATGTTCCTTTCGACAGCTGTCCCTTGCTAAGGATAACTGTCTTCGTCCTCACTGAGAATAGCAGGAGTTGGCAGCTATTTGCATACGTGATAGTTATGCATGTTTTTTTTTTTTTGTCCCTGTAAAGCCCCAATGAATGAAAAAAGCCTCTCATTTATGAAAGAAAACACTTCAGAAGTGACCTTTGCTTCATTATTAGACTTTTATTTATCAATTAATTTTAATCATGTGACTTTTGAAGGGTTTTGATTTGTTTTGTAATTGTAAGGATAAAAGCCAGTCAAAAATGGATGCTAATTCTCCTAAATGAGTCATTGAAGATCTAATGAGCAGTTAATCCCTAACAGTCAGACATTCATCCTGTACTTTGACAGTAAGCTCTAATTTTGGGGAGTGAATATCTTCAGACACATCAAAGGGCTCGAACTGTGGAAAGTGTAAAGTTCAGCTCAGCCTTTATTATAGAGTGACAGTCAGAGCTGCTATAGCTTGGCTTCATTATGAGAGATGAGTTCACTCACATCCCATTACAGAAAAATTTGTCTTTATAGTGTTTATCTTGACTTAAATGGCTCTTCTCTCTCTTATGTAACTGAAACTGGTGTTAAGATCCGTGCTGCTTTGTCACTGGTTAATCATATGAGCTGTTGCAAGAAAAGGCGTAACATGAAAGTGCCGATGAAAAGTAGCAGAGAAAGGTTGCATTCCCAAGCCTGCCCTGAAAAATCTTCTGTTACAGGAGACAGGCCATGTCAAAGCTGCTATTGAGGTGATATATGGGAAAAAACAAAAAACAATGAGAGCAAAAAACAATGAGAGAGATTTGCAAACTGGCATGAGAAAAGATACACAAAACTGTAGCTCATTCAGGGCAACTTTCTCTCCAAGAAAATTTTTATTTCCTCCTGAGGTGTAATATTAGTGAATGCAGTGATCAGTCTCATAAACCTGCTCTTAAAATCCTGCTTGCGTGGTCACTGCACATGACTGTGGCCTAGCAACTCTTTTTTGTAAGAGCTGACCTGGAGCGCTGCAATGCAGGACTATGTGGCGCTTTCATTGCCCTGTAAATTATACGGAAAATGGTAGAGTTTGTTAGCAAGATGGCAAGAACAAGGGCAATACTAGATCAGATTTAGTACAATGGGAGAGAACTAGTTTTTGCTGAATCTGAATCTAGCTCATCCAATACAATTTAGATGCAGATGAACAAATGGCAAATGTATGTCATTTATATTATGTTTCAGCCATCTGATTCCTGCTATATGAAGGATATTTAATATCTCTCATCGTCTTCAACTCCAAGCTAGGAGAAATCACTAGGGCTGGAACAATACTAGATGGAGGAGAGAGGCATTTGTGCAAATGCTTGGATGAAGCCAACACACCTTCCTGGAGTGGCAGCTGGAAGACAGGTGAGATACCACCAAGCACCTGCAGTGGCACCAGCTGTCCGCTTATGTTCCTTCCATCCAGGAGTCCAAAGATGCTACTAGGGGGTGCAATATTAGCCTGTCATTAACGGAGAAAAAGCCTCTGGGTTCAAAGCTTGGCCCTCGATGAGGAGCCTTGTAGGTAAGCAATGCACTCCCCTACCAGGCGAGCAGCTTCTTTGGCAGTGCCCCAGTGCGTTGAAAAGCCACCTGCCCCGTGACCATAGTTATGGACCACCAGGAGCTTTGCTCCTCCTTGGCTCAAGACCTCTTTCTGCAGTCTCACACACGCTCGGGTCGGCCTCAGGCCCACCTTCACCCTTATATCCTGAGCTCGCTGAAGTGAGGGCTCAAGGGAGCAACATCTGTCAAAGACGTCTTTGGTAGTGCTAGGATCAGGGGAGAGGCTCCAGCTCTCTTTTTCCCTGGTTCCCCCTAGGGTTACACTGTGTATCCCTGGGTAGATGTAAGTCAAGCCATCCCCGTCCCGGACAAAGTTTTTCACCCAAGGAGCATGAACCTTGAGTACTTGGCCCCTGACAGGGAACAGCTTCTGATCCCCCACAAGCTGGTGGGCACCAATGCCCGCGCAGTTAACAACGATGTTATATTCGCTGTGCAGCTCCCATAAGTTTGCTACTTTTCTGGTATACAGCTGGACATCTTTTGCTTTCAACCTGAAAAAAAAAAAAGACAGAAAAACCACCCTGAAGTGAGGCTGAAATGAAACCCCTAAATCCTCATGTAATTATTATGCACATCAAGTAAATGAGATTGTCTTTAACATACAGATCAAAAACAAACAACAGATGGGACAAAAAGCAAAGGAAGTGGCATAGGGCTTCTGTTTGTGATTTGTCTGATTTGGTCTGATCAAAGATACTTTTTAGCTTGTTTGGGCAGGAAAAGATACAGCAAGTTGATAGCTATTACAGAGGAGGATCTTGCATAAGACCCTAGATACGTAGATGCATCCTCATTATCTCATTGATTCATTTCTATTAAGATTCTAAACTTTAGCAGTCCCAGCAAGCTGAAAATGTCACTTTGCTGTTAGCGACAGCACTATTGTACTACACCTCTTTTAATGTGCCCATTGCATAGTGTCACATTAATTCCAGACTCACTCCCTTAGTACCGGGGGAGCCACTTGGGTGCTAAACTTGGTCACCTCATGCCGTGTTAGATACCCTGGGGTCTCAGGGACGTCCCCACAGGCTGGGCAGGTACAGCACACGATCCGCAGGAGACCTGGACCCTTCTAGCACAGCAGCTAGGAGCCACACAGCACAACACAGAGCATTAAGCATCCACATCTGGGCACCTGAACCACTCCCCAGGCCAGGCCAACTGTCAGCTTGTCTGTCTGTCTCAGACAGAGCTTGCACTTCTAAAACTACTCCTGTAAGATCTTTTCTTTCCTCTGTGTTTACTTTTGTACACATGGCTGCATACCCTTCTGCAATAGTAATAAGGGATTGCTCTGCAGCTACCTTGCAAATGAGGTGAGTGCTGCAGGGCTGCAGGGCCTGACAGGAGTTAGACAGGAAAGAACTGTAAGGGGAGCGAGCCCTCATTCCTAGAGCCATTGCACTGAGCACGTGCTTCAATTCACACTATTTGGAAAGGAGGTCTGCTGAAGGATGGGGGACATAGCTCTGGTGCCTGACAAGGTCGGTTCACAAAACACCCTCTCAGGCAAAACTCACCCCTTCCTAAGCTTCGTCTCTGAGCTAAATTTCAAGCTAAACTCCACCCAGAACTTGCCTGAAGCTTGAAGTCCTTCCCGGTGGAGAAACATTTCCCTGGCCCTGGGGAAATGCTCCATCAGAGCGAGGTGGAGGCACCACGCACTGCCAGCCACATCCAGTGCTTGGGGTCTTTAGTGTGGGTTTTAGCATGAGCAAGCCAGGAGACAGCCCGGTGATCCATGCACTAAGTGAGAAATCTTGTCCCTTGCAATACTCCAGCAGCTGGCAAAGTGATCAGTCCAACTATAACGTAGTGGTTTCCCACAAAGCAATGAATGAGTCAAGGATCCAGGGCACAGCTGATGCTTTGGAGACTGGGAGTTGGGTGCAGCAGGGCACTGGGGCTGGCTGGGAAGAACTGGGAAGGTCCCATTCAACGACTCTGGCTGGACAAACTGCTGGGGATCTCATAAGCATTGTGTTTGCAACTCTGCCATTATGCCACCAAAAATACAGCAATATTAAAAGCTGCTGAAAATGCCTGATTTCAGACAAGCAAGCAGGAAAAAGTTCCTGAATTCTATTTTTGAACCAGCAAAGTGAGCACAAAAACAGTTTTCCTTGTCAGCTGCAAAGAGAATGGTCCATAAATACTGCTCAGATCACTAGGGTTTCAAGAATTAGTTACACGCTTAATATGCTCTCTTTTCTGATCACCAGAGAGAAGAGAAAGGAAAGAAGGTAGATCATCTTATTAGACTGCATCCTCTGAGAAATAAGAAGGGTATAACAGGAATAAGGAGAGAGCAGAAATCACATGACAGACACTAAATGGATTTAACAATTTAGTTGCGCTTCAGCGGAAATTTCCATGGGTTAAGCAATGAAACATGACAGAGCATGTGTTTGGAGGAGACTGCGCAGCCATCACGTGGCCTTGGTGGCATTGGCATGCTCCCAGTTGGGCTGGTTGTAAGAACAAGAAACATTTTTTCATAGTTAGCACTGAGATGAAAGACATCCAAGATTAGCTGGCAATTTGTACCACAACGGAGGTACACGGCTCTTTACTTAACCTCAAACCAGCTTGCAGCTCATCACTTTTTCTCAAGCAGAGACAACTTTGCTCATTTTAAGGGTACTAAATGGACTAAATGCACACTCCAGTTATCAGAACTTTTTTAGATCTGCATCCTGACTCTTCTGTGGTTCTTTGAAATCCATGTATTTTGGAGAAAGCTTGTCTTGCCAACACTTCTAACTTCCCCGTCAATTCAGGCATGAACTCTAAAGCTGCGATTCCCCTGAGGGCATCACGCATTTTGCACGGGAAAATGTTTTCAGAAGGTTTGTTACAAAATGATGTTATCTGAACTTTTTTACCTGAATGGATTAAGAAATGACTGAGATTGTTGACCAAATTTGAGATGAATTGGACCAACTAATTCTTAAATCCAAGGTCTTGGCAAATTAGACATCTTCCCAGACATCCACATTCTCTCAGGAGCTGGATGTATCTTGAAGAGTGAAGGAGGATATTTGGGAAGTCTGGCAAGTGAGGAGCACCTATGTTCTCTCCTAGGATGTGGCAAGTTCCCAACATATCTTAAAAGTCTTGACTGGCCAAGTGTCGCTCCCTGTGGCTATATCAATACTGTGCTCAGAGGTATTCCCAATTTAAAGCCCCACAGTATAGCCAGAATGGTAGAAAGTTGTCATTACATAAATGGGGCCTTTAAAATTTTGGAAAGATTGGGTATTTCTTCCTAGTGCTCCTCCCCAAGAATCACCTTGCTGCATTTTCCCCAGTGAAAAAGAGCCCTGTTCCAGATGTGTTCAAACCTAAGACTCTCAGCCAGCTTCCCATAGTCCCTTTGGTTGGATTTTGCTCTGCACCCCCAGCTTGCAGCAAAACCAACCTTTTTTCCAGCCACAGTAGGTAGGGTGGGCAGTCGCATTTCAGTGTCGTGAAGGCCTGACCAAATCTGTGCTGTGGGAATTTCTGGAGTTCAGCTTCAGACATTGGTCGAAATCCCAGGACAATGTCAGACCAGAACGGTAACTCTTCTTTGGGAGTGCTCTTAAAGATCTGCCAGCTAAAAGAGCATTGATTAAAAAACAGCAAAACTTAGTCACTATTGCTCTGCCACGTCATGTCACTGCAACCTTAGCCAAAAACAAAGAATTCAGGCATCTGTTCCCATTGATCAGTGCAGCTCGCCAGGGTTAATAGCAAAGGGAAAGTGTTGCTGCCTGCAACTATAATAAATGCTTTTGCAAACAGGCAGAGGGCTGTCACAGTTGAGCTTGAGGGCTAGATACTGGGATAGATCGTGTGGAGAGAGGCTCAGAGTCTAGATTAAAATTTGCCAAATGTCAAGAACTGAAGAAAACAGTATGATCGCAAAGGGCCTCCTTTAGGCAATACAGGGGGCAGGCGGACAGGGGAAAGAGCTTTCTAAAATAGTCTGTGTCCTCTTGCCTTTGTGTGACCACTCTCAGCTGGGACACACGCTCCTCTGGGGGCAGGAATGACAGTCAGGAAAACCCATCCTCCTGCTCTCCGCTTGCTCTCCAGCCACAGGGCTGCCTGCAGCAAACCTAAGCAAATGCTCAGGAGCGCAGTTACTGCAGCCCAGGCTCCTAAGGGAGCAGGGCTTTACGCTTTGAACAGGGGGAGGTTTATATCTAGATCCCATTGGCCTCAGAGTGCCTCCCTCAAGGTTCATCAGCAAAAAAAAATCCCCCCTAGCTTTTTTTTCCTCATATTTGTTTGCTGATGTTCCCCAGGTAATACCTTTTCTCCACACGGTTTTAAATCCACATGTCTTTCCAGCGCCTCGCACAGCAGTCTCCCAGCAATTATAAAAGCACACAGTGCCCTCACCTAATGCAGTGTGCCAACCACGGGGCTGCTTGCGAACCTGCTCACACTATTTTGGGGTGCTCATAAAGCTACACAGTTTCCAGCCTCAGCACTCCCAACAGGCGAATTTCTGTGTACGTATTAGGCAGCCTAAATCTCCTACACGTACACCAGTCCCATCCATCTACCTAGCTGCTAAAGCTGGAGGATCTTGCAGTCCTAACCCTATGCAGATCACCCTGCTACTAGCAACTGCTGGATGACAGTATGGAAAACATCAGTTACAACAAGATATTTGTGGCAGGCATGCTAGCCGAGAGTGGTTCATCTGTGCATGAATTTTGCTTGAAAATATGTCCTTTCTATCTGAGCAGCTGCACTGCAGCTTTTTGGGGGTATGGCCAGGTTCCTCCCTCTGTGTGGGGAATACAGCTGGTCTCCAGCAGGTAAAATGGCTGTCTGCTGCAGCGCGTGGCACGTGGGCACCAGACTGCTTCGGAGGGCTGCTCTTACCCAGACACGGGGTGAATGCCAGCCTCTGACGCCTCTGCTGAATTGCTGATGGCAAAAAGGTAAGTGAAGGTCTCTTTGAACCACTGCTTCTGCACGTGAATCGGTGTGCCTGTATGGAAATAAAACCAAACCTATTGAGAGGCAAAATGCAGAGGAGGAAAAGCGTGCAAGCCAGCATCAGAGAGAAGGGACAGGTGGGAGTGCAAGGAAGGGTGCTTTTCTCCCTGGTGAAAGGCTGTGCGTTGCTGCATCTCTGCACATGGCGCTGTGCACGCAGGGCACACGCTTCCTGTGGCCTGTCCCAGGATGCAGGTCAGGCTGTAGGCGGTGAGGGCGACTAGGGCATTTGGGCTCGAAACCTCAGCCACCACGGCAGTCTCAGGAAGCCCATAAAATCTGAGGCTACGAGATAATCTGGGCCCCCCTCTGAGGCTGATTGCCCTGCTTTCCCAGGAGAGATGAGGGTCCGCTGCACCTTGCTGTCCTGGGCCCCTCGTATTTAGCCAAGGGACTGTCTGCGGAGGAAAGGACTGAACCGCAGAGCCCCCTGACTGACGTAGGTATGAGCAAAACTAATATGCTCGTGCAGCATCATGTAGCAAACCCTGCAGTGGAGATCTAGTAGGAAACCTGCCAGGCCATAATGTTGTGTGGTTTAAGATCAAATTTCAAAGGAAAGAATTGGAAAAAGAACAATATACGCTCACCCTACATGGGTGAGATCCTCTGCTGCTAAATGCAGAGCTCTGCTTATTACTATTTATAACCTCTTGAGTATTTAACCTTAAATATTTGCATGCCATGCAGATAAGTTAAAATTGGGGGTGTGCGGGGGGGTGCCTTTTAGTCTTGTGGCGGCTGTCCTGCTGCAAAGAGCCACAGCCTCTCCTAGATTTCCTTTGAGACAAGCTATAGCCGGCCTGCCCCAATACAGGCCACTGGCTAAAAGCCCCAGCTTGGCTGGTAGTGACTCAACTCTCAAAACTGCAGAGGAAGTTCACTGTTCTGCTGGCAGTGTAAAGAAGTGCATATTTGTATGTGCGATTTCATAAATAGATGCATAAACAGAGCTATTTCGGGGACCCCGCAGCCCCGGGACAAACAGCCTGAGCAGCTGTGGGACAGGGCTCAGCCCCACCTCAGTCCAGGTTTACTTGCCGCTACAGAGGTGGCCAACACCAGGGCAACGACTGTCAGACTGCTGGGTTTGGGGTGGGTTTTTTTTGCACACACCTGGGGCGGTGTGAGGGATGAGCATCCCCGCAGCCACGTCGCTCGTGGTGTCAGGGGTGAACCGGTCTGCAACGACAGCGAGGGAGCAGGCGGGGAAGGTCTCCGCGATGCACAGTGCTGTGGACAGCCCGACAACTCCCGCACCAACCACGGCCACCTTCGGTGCTGCCATCGCCGGAGAGGAGAGCTGCAGGGGAGTGGCGCCTGCAAGCGTTTAGAAATAGCACATCCCGCATTAGCAATATGGGGCTACCAAAGCAGCCGAAGGATGCTGCGGGGCTGGATCCCGCGAGCAGCCGCGCGGGGTGCACCGGCGGGGGACACGCTCATGCACCTCTGAAGTACCTGTGGAAGATGCAGATCTTGTAAACCCGCCTGGGCAGCAGGACTAAATGCTGCACATGCAGAACCAAGGCTGAGGGGAGGACAAAAAAAAACATGACCGATTTTGAAAAGTTATTGCAGGTTCAATTCAGCAGTCACTACCCCTGTCCTTAGCATGGGAGCAAAGGGCAATAAGGAGACTTATATGTATAGCACTGACGTTCAAGCTGGAGTAATGTGGAGCTAGGTTTTTTTCATTAAAAGCCTAAGGGACTGAGGCATCCATCAAGTTTTCAGTAGTGTCCAGGGGCAAATGTGCCATTAGGAGCTCTGGGAAAACTGCACTTTTGCCACCAAGAGGGAAAAGGTTGTCTGAACATCGGCATCTCTAGCAACGGGGTCCGCCCCTGCCCAGGCAATGCAAGCAAATCCCACAGGAGGCAAATTGATTCCCCAAAGTAGCAGGTCCAGCACAGTGTGGAAAACATTATTTTTCTTACTGTGCATCTTAATTGCCTCGCTATGCATTGCTTTCTGTTGTGAACCTGCAGACTGGATAACCTGCTTAGCTCTGCCCTCAGAAATGGGGTTTTTACCATTAAAGGCAATGAATTTCCTAAGGTATAGCCTGGCTGTTTCTACTCCCACATTCAAAAATCGTCTCGGCCCTGATCCCTTGGCTAGGAAAAAGCAAGGGAAGCCACCTGCGCCCCGGGGGATTTTGTGGCCCTGCAGACCTGAGGCCTCCAACCCGTCCTTCCTCGGTGCTGTACCGGCTGGCAGAGGGGTTCACGGGCGCCTGGCAGCGTGCGGTGGTCACGGCTGGGAGCCAGCCAGGGTCACTGCCCGGGAGTGTGCTGACCATGTATATTTGCCCCTCTTCACCTTGCTTTATAGCCTGCTTTGTGGCCTGGAGCAGCTCCACTCCACCTCTCAGCATCATAAACTTTTAATTATTACTCCAGGAGGAGCAAGGTTTCTTTTTTTTTTTGCTCATCCGGGCCAAGTTTCTGAGCTTGGCACTTGCCTCAGCAAGCGACGTCCAGCTCCCGGTCAGTAGTTACCTGGTGCAGCTCCCGGCGAGGGGCCGGCACGCATGGGCGGCCACGGCCCGCCCACAGGTTTAACACGGGTTCTGCTCGAAGCAGAACGAAATCATGCAGTGCAATGTCCCCCTGCGTACTTCCCGAAGGCAGGATTTAAGTTAAAAGGGAGGGCTGATTTCCTGTCTCCCTGTGGCTTTCGGCATCTTTGGTGCAAGTTCAGGCAACACAAACCATGCGGGATGAGGCTAGGTCAGGTTTATTTATGAAAGCCTTGGTCTTAACATTTCACACAGCTTCTTGCTACCCCGTATGGATTTATCAGAGCTTGATAACATGATGTTCCTGCTGCGTAGGAAGGGAGAGAGGACAAGGCACCGTCGCCCGTCATGGCATTGCAGCTGAGCGTCGTTACAGCCCCTGTTCTCCCTCTCAGGGCAACGCTTAAGAGTCTTCCTGTTAATTATTCTATCTTCGGCTGCAAGCCAGCTATGAAAGTGCCCACGCAGCAGAGAAAAAGGGCACTGCACTGGGGTAAAGATGAACCCTGCACCAAAACCTTGGACCTGTATTGCTGCCACCCAGAAACCCAATCTGCAAAAATACTGATTCGAACGTCAGCTTCGTCTCTCAGCTCAGCCACTGCCCCAGAGCCTCCTAGACGAGGCACTGCTTGAACCAACTGCAAAAGGAATTTCTACAGAATGTCAGAGTGGTTCCCGTTTGGCAGGTCATGCGGTTTGTACTTCTCTCCCGCATTCTCCAAAATATTTTGCACTAGTCTTTTTATTTAGAAACAGAACAAGAAAAAAAAGTAACCGAAAATGAGGGGAGTTTTAATTCAGAAATTGCTTTGGTTAAAGAAGTAGGTTCTGAAAAAAAGTGTCTCACAGCATTGTAATTAACAACAAACCGTTTCGTTCACCACTGGCAGCTGTAGTGGAAATTGTATGCCGCTCTCTGCATGCCCACCGAGTACTTTCACAGCCTCAGAGCAATCCGGGGATGAACCCAGTCCTGCTTCGTCAGCCGCCCCTGGGACATACATGACGGACACGTTATTCATCTGCCAAAGACCCAGGCTTAGTTGCCCCTCACCTCTCTTGTTTGACGCTCGCTGAAGCCCTCGGCCCACGATGGAGATCGGATTTCCCGACTGACCTCCCACGGCCACCCACAACTCACAACTGAAAAACTAACCAGCCCTTTTTTTCCTAGCGCTTACTGCTGCTGTACAGGGGCAAATCAGGCCTTAACCTCCTAATATGCCAAAAGCTGGTGCCAAACAGAGGCTAGAGGGCTACCCAGCTTGTATAAGCAAGCAGAGTGGGTTTTACAGAGCTAACAACACGGCAATGAGAGTAAGAGTTACCTGCGCTCGTGCGGCTGGCAGCACGGCCGTCTTGGCAGGGGCTGTGGACCTACCCGAGGAGGCACATGAGGATAGCCTATTTTTATCCCATGTGGCATGCCAGCTCAATCCTAGTTGGCAAGTCTCACCACCCTCACCCCCACCCCCCACCCAGGCTGGCTTTTGCTGAGAGTTTTGCAAAAATCGATATTAAAAAGCAAAACCAGTTGCAGCAACCAGGGTTTTGGCGGGAGGGTGGGGGGAGCTAGGTGCCGCTTAGCTCTTTGCCCGTTCTTGGTGCCAGAAGATTGGGACCGAAACCAAGAAGAGCGAGGAGGAGTCAGAGGCACAGGCGATTCCCCAGCAAAGCGGCTACCACCCCCCCGCCGCAGGCTGCACGGCCCCTGCCCCCCTCCTGCCCCTCCAAGGCCAGAATGATATTCTCGGTAAAAATACCGTGGTATTTCGTGGTGTGACTCAGTCTTCCAGCTCTTGCAGGCGGTGAGACAAGCTCAGCCGTGTGTGACGACCCGTGGAGGGCCTAAACTGCAGCTTTTCAAACGAGATCTGTTCTTTTTCCTTTCTTAGCTCCCGCGTCGCCCGAGCACCGCTAGCCGCCCCAGTTAGCCTCGTTTTAGCGGTGGATAAAATGATTAATACGGCTACGTGCCCAGGTGCCCGGCCCTTTGGCCAGCTGTCTGGGCGGGCTGCCTCTTCAGCGGTCTCTCCGGCTCAGACAGACCTGGGAAACAGGCATCCCTCAGCCCGAAGAGCTGGACTAAAGCTTTTGCTGTGACAGCTTTGCTTTACCGGCACGGCCCCCTCGCCGTGGCCTGTTCTCCATGTGGCTGCCTCCCCCGGCAGACTGACCTCTGTCAGCGTGCCTGACAGCCCGGCCTGGGGACCAGGCCGAAAAATCATGCTTACACTCTTTTTTGGCAGATCACTGGTAGATTTATCTACCTCCGCGTTTTACCAGCCCCCTCGGCTTTGCTCCCCGTTGCCTGACCCAGCGAGCTGAGGGGGGCTGACGCCTCTTCGTCGCGGGCCGGAGGCAAAGACACCCCCTTCCCCGAGCGAGGGGCGCCGCAGGGCGGGAAGCTGTCCGGGACCCTCCTCAGCCTTCCCGCTGGGTCCACGCACGCTCCCAGCACCGCCACCACCACCTGCATCTGAGCCGCTTGTAGGGGAGAGCCCGAGGCTACCGGGGAGGCCTCCAGCTCCTCGGCCTCTCCTCCTCACACGCTTTGAGGTAGCTGGTCCCAGCAGCGTGCTTGGGAAATGCCTGTTAAAGCAAGGAAGGTTGTGCCCGCGCTGTTGGTTATGAGCGGCAGTAACCTCGGCCGCAGCAGGCCCCCGAGCCAAGCGGTGCTCTTGCTTCTGCCCGGGCAAGGAAAACTTGTTTTCCATTTCTGTTCGGCCGAGAGCAAAAAGCGCAGAGGGAGCTGAGGCTTATCGCGCCTCTGAGCTCCCTCCCAAACGCCAGGGGTTTCACACCCTCTGCCGAGCGCTGCCACCGAGCAAGTTGTGCCGTAACGAGCTTTTGCTGCGCGGCCGGCCTCCGCGCGCGGCCTAAACCCCTCCTCGCACGGGCTTCGGGAGCTGTTCTGCATCCTGCCGAAAAGTCCTAGCACAGCGCTGGAGCCCTGCACGGCCCCCGTGGGCGCCTCACCCGCCGCGCAGAGCCAGAGGACCCCCCCCCGACCCGC